CATACATACGTACTTACATACATACAAACAAGCATACGCATGTTTATTTGGAACATAGTGGAGGTATATCTATAACAGCACTTGTCATGTGCGGTGCTCAGACGACATGCAAAGGGGCACTGCAGACAGACCATTGCTGAGGTGTGTGTGTGGGTATGCACATGCATGGGCTGCGTGTAGTTTGTGATTGATCCCGAGGAACAAGTACCATGCACGTCTGTTAAGCAAATTGTAATATCAAGTATTGTGCAAGGATTTTGGTCTTTGATCTGGCTGTTAGTATATTGTGAATGAGTTCTGGTTTGCATGATGTCAATATTGTTTGTGGCATACCCGAAAATGAATGTTGTACACTGCATAGCACCGATGCCATCTAGAAGCCAGGCCTTTCTTCCTGATGCAAAGGGCCATGAGCTCGGAAGAGTCTGTTGGAAGATGACGACTCGCGAGTGTCGGTATGCATACCCCATAGGCCCCATAGTAGTTCCTGTTTGGGGCTCATATATAGAATCCTATAAGGTAATCAAAAAGGAACTACTATCGGGCCTACGGGTATGCATGACTGCTAAGTGACTTTTAGCTTGTCTTGTCTCGGCTTCAGGCTTCAGGGATTGATTTTTTTCGCAAATGGCATGGCCAGGGCGTCACCGTCTCATTTACAAAGCCTCTAGACCAGTTTGTCTGCCACCCCACTCCAGGCTTGATCTACACTGTTGCAAGGAAGTCCAAGACAGTACCTGTAGTTTAGTAGAGCCAGAACTCCAAGTTTAGTAGGCGTCGTCGTCATCGTAGTTCGCAATCTGGACGAGCATGGCCATGGTCTCAGAATCAGTCACCGTTTTCAATAACAGAGGCAACGACTGCAATCGCTCTTTGAATTTAGGGTTTAGAGTTTAGGGTTTACCTTGATATTTCTCGTCGCCGCCGCCATCACCATCACCACCAGTGCCGGCTGCAGCAAAATTATCAGTTGCGTCCTCTTTCACCAGCAGCAATATGGACCATTACCATCACCAAAAACACACATATACAATTTCTGTGCCGAGACTTGCTAAGATATATTGCATCGATAATTAAACATGTTGCGACCATCGTGCGTAGCATACCCTGGGCTGAAGAGCTGCAGCATGCTTGCAGTTGAGCGTATCCGTGTTCACCTCCCGCCTAGCATCGTTACCTACTCCTTTCGACTGTCCTGGGTTTTGGCGCCCGAGGCCTGGGTCTGCACCACTTAATAAAGGGGCCTTACTAATTAGAATAGGGTTTTGGGGCCCATTATACTCTAATTATAATAAGGAACCCCTTAAATAGTACTGGTAATTGTTTAGGCCGCTGCATTAGGGTTTCCTGCGACCACACTTTCCTCGACGGCCATGCGTGAGGTCAAACCCTGCGGATCTTCTTCAATGGCAAGGCTGATTTGCCTCCGACCTCTAGCATATTGTAGCGAATTGCAGCAGTTGTCACCAGAGGAACGAACACATACCGAGATCCCTACTGAGAACAAGTAGAACCCTAAGCCCTGAAATAATCCAAAAAACTCAGCCCAAATCCCTACAACCCTGAACGAACTTAAAGCCCCTGTAACAACAAGTGTAGCACCTTTAAAAAGACCCTGTGCAAACCCTTGTTGTCCCGAGGTGCTAAACGCTACGACGAGACCCCGAACCGACGAAACCAAGAACAGTGCTGTCGTATCCAGAGACCAATACCCTTTAATTAAGGAATATACCTTAAATCATATTAGGGATCCTACTATAATTTAAGGCATATTCCTTAATTAAGGGGTATTGGAGTCTCTGGGTATCCAGGAGCTGAAGGAGCCTGGACTATCTGCCAAGCAGCTGGGGCTCAGTGAGAACGCCTGCCTACAGGCAGGGCCGAACTGGGGGTCATACGCTTTAGCCAGGCTGATAGAAACATGCCCCTAAACCCTAAACCCTAAACCGTAAACCCTAAACCCTAACCCTAAACTTTAGGGTTTAGGGTTTAGGGTTTAGGCCACACGCAGAAGCAATCGTCAGGCTGCACACCGATACAATTGAAGTTAGCGAGCCCGACAGTGCGACACGCTGGGTAGTGGCAGGATTCAGTGTGCGAGTGAACAAGGAGTGTCACAACGAGCATCGTAATATGTATCTGTACATGCACACATGCTTACAAGCATACATACATGCAAACTTACAGGCCTACATACATGCATACATGTGTACATACATTATGTAGTATTGCCTCCAGTTCTCCGTTTCGCAACTACTACTGTATTTACAAGAACAAGCCTAGGCCCCTCATCGAGCTCAAACTTCACCCAAAGACGCCAAAGTACGCAAGCCTAGGTGCTGAGGTTGAGGATTGTGCGCAGTAGGTGTGCATTATGTACTCATTTGACGAGTATAGGTGGTCGTTACCGGGCGAGCCCAGAGGTCATGTTCTCGGCGCCGAGCGCGGCACCCGCCGCATCCCTAGGAGGGCTCAAGGCCTTGAGGTATCGCGTGATTTACCCTAGGCTTCCAGGGACCTTATTATTGGGTCCTTGAGGGGTCTAGGGCCATTATAAGGTCCTTGGAAGCCTCGGGTTATTACGAGACTAAGGTTTTAGGGGTATGGCGCTTCTGGCAGGAAAGGTTTAGAGCCAGGGCTCGGATGTTGTATTTGAGTACTCGTGCTGGAGCCTCCCTGGGAAAACGTCGCGAAAGCCCTGCATCATAATTGGCTGAGGGTTCACAATCCCTAAAGCCTAAACCCTAAACCCTTTCCAACTTCACCATGGTTGCTGCTCTTTCTGCTCCTCAACAGAGAAACTGAGGCACACAGCCAGGCTCCAGCAGGCCTTGCGAGAAGATTCACGGCCTTTCATCCGACCTTTTCAGACTTACGAGTCCCCACAGTTCGGGTTTAGTATAAGGGCCTGAATAATTACTTTTACTATTTTGGGGGTTCCTTATTCTGATTATAGTATAATACACCCCCAATTCTAATTATTAAGGCCCTACATTAGGGTTTAGGCTGTAGGGCTGAGGGTTTAGGGTCTTGTAGACCAACGCTTGGTCGTAAAGTTCAACCAGGTCGGCATCTTCGGGTGCTGAGGGTCAACCTCCATGACGCTTCGAGTTCTCCTTGGGGTATCAGGTTGAGTCATACCTATAGTCTCCATTGTAGTTCCTTTTTGGGGTTACCTTATAGAATCCTATTTATTCATTTGGTTAAGCCAAAAAAAGGAACTACCATGGAGACTATAGGTAGAACTTCGAGATCATATCCCTTCCTATACCCTCCATCTACCCATGCTGGAGGGTACACTAGAGACCTTCAGAGCTCGCAGCATCTAGTCCTGGCAGTTTGGTACGGATGCTTCTGCTCGGCCAAGCCTTTGGTTATTGCTGTTGAGCTGGAACATCTGAGGTCCTCCGGCACCATATAATGTAGGGGCTCGGATAGTGGGTATCCCTATGGTTTTCTCAAGGGATATGCAACGGTCCTGTCTTGTGGCCGACACTTTCGTCCTTGAGCATCAGAACTCATTAGGCAAGAAGCTCAGTATAAGAGGGTTGATACTGAGAATAGGGTTTGGGGGAGTTCATTATACGTTATATTAATTGTTAACCAGGAGCACTGACAAAACAATACACTTGACGCTGCGTCCAGTCGCCTTATCCGTGATGCTTGTGGTGAACAGCTTTTGTCAATTCCTTGGGGTCGTTCCCAGGTTCCCAAGCAGTACCCTTTTGCCCCTTTTCATGGGGTCTCCTTACTAAAACTTTAGAGCCGAAGAATAGGAGAAAAAGGGTACCCTCAGTATTAAGGGGCTACTCGGATTGTAAAGGGGCTAGTGTAAGCCTTAAACCCCAAACCCTTAACGGGGGGGAGCCCAGGTTCAAAGTTCCATTCTGCTCAGACTCCAAGAACCCTAAACCCTAAACGCTAAACCCCCAGACCCTAAACCCCTAGCCCCTGAACTCCTAAACCTTAAACCCCTAAACCCTAAGCCCCTAAAAACTAAACCCCAAAACCCTAAAGCGCTAAGACTCCAAAGTAGCCTGCCAGTCACGCCTCCGGCAGCAGAGGAGCTGACTGCGTGCGCCCCAGGAAAATTCCTGTGTCTAGAAAATCGTAGGCTCCTTGAACGGATGGTTTAGGGTCTAAGGATATACACAGTCAGTTTAAACTTGTCGAATGCGAAGGAACGTAGTAATCATATGAATCTGTCTGCCTGCCTGCCTATTCGGCTGCTTGTGTGCAACTGCATATTTGTTTCCGTACCTATGTATGCATGTGTGCTAAGCATGCTCTTGTTTGTAGATACCTGCAATACGTAAACAGTCGTTTAGAATAAATTTAGCCCGCGCCTCCGAGACGGGAGGAGGAGGCGGGGCACCTTCGACGATCAAAGACAATAAAGGCTATATCTTGTTGGGCACTTTAAAACATGCAGTTAACTTCCCTTCGAGGGCACCTTCGTCAATTCAGGGTTCATGAGTGCTTCGACAAAGGTTCTACGTAAGGCGGCCATAAGCACACCCCAACCCACTGACTCAGACTGCATCAGGTAAATACCATGTCGTGAATTCCTCCAGTACAGTCTTCTATTCCGCACACGTGACAGAGTCCCCTCTGAAGTCTGAAGCTGACAAGAGATGTTCAACGTTTATGCCTTGGTAATTAAATTGATGTCTGCATGAATGCATGAATCAGTGGCCGTGCAGCAGTGAACTTTGCACCCCAAACTCCTCACACTAGAAGCATTGAAGCCTCAAGGCCCATACCATCCCATACCCAACCTAATCACAAGGTGCGGCTTCAGGGCACCGTCGGCGGTCGCACCTGTTCACACATGGTCGAGGTGTTGATGTGTGTGTGTGTGTGTGTGCTTGACTAGGTTTGGAAATGGAGGTGCTTCGAGGTTTTTAGTTTCAGTTTCGACTTCATGTTGCCGGGCTTGGACATAGGATTCAGCAGCGGGACTTCATCTGCCTGCTCCTCGGGACTTGACTTTCCGGATTCTTCTTGCATCCGAAAAGGACCCCCTTAAGTGTCGAGCGTTTCAGACCATACACTGCCCCACCAAGCCTCCCTCAAGATTCAGAGTGAGGGTTCACTGCCGTCTAAGAAGTCAAGATCATGTTTTCATCCCTCACACAGGAATCCCCTCAAGCTAGGGAGGAAAATGATGAGTTATGCAGGGTGCGGTTTGTTCCCCCGAAGGTCTCGCACAAAAAACCCTAAACCCTAAACCCCTAAACCCTAAAGCCCAAGGTATTCTGTTTCGAACCGGCCTTGGGGTTCTTTAGGGTCCCCTTAGGGTTTAGGGTTTAGGATTCAGGTTTCAGGGTTCAGGGTTTAGGGTTTAGGTTTTCCGAGTTGCTCGTGTGGATCATAGAGTCATAAGCCGTGAAGTCCCAAAATCTACACCGTTTAGCCTCACATTGCGATGACCTGCACTTGAAACTCTTCAAGCCACGAGCTAGATGACCAATGGCTGCACCACCCTAAACCCTTTAAGCCCTAAACTCTAAACCCCAAACCCTATAAAGCCCTAAACCCTAAACCCTAAACCTTAGGCCCGGAGCCCTAAGCCCTAAAGCCTAAAGCCTGAAAGCGGCCTCCACCCCTCCTTTGGATCCGATTGACTTGTGGAGCTGTGAGAAGCGCTGGTCCCTTCAGGAGCTAACGACGGCCTCCTCGGTTTTGGACTTGGAAGGCCTTCTGAGCTTGTAATTAGGGTTTAGGGTTTAGGGGTTTAGGGGTTTAGGCTTTAGGGTTTAGGGTTTAAACAACCTATAGCTCCATTGTAGTTTCTTTTCTGGTTTAACCAGTTCTATATTTAGCATTCTATAAGGTAGCCCCAAGAAGGAACTACAATGGAGACTATAGGAAGAACGGAACAGGGCGGTAATCCAGTATGGGAGTATAGGAATGAGAGCGGTACTAATAATACTTGCTTTCCGAATGTGTGAGAGAGTGGCGGCGAACTGTAGCAAACAAGACTTTGGGATTCAGAGTTGGGTGTTTCACACTCATCTCATGGCTTCTTTTTGCGGCCGAACTCCTGCAAGTCAGCCTGCGGTGCCTCAACGGCTCAAGAAGAGCAGCTATCACAGCTATGAAAATTCTCACAAGGGCGGGAGCTGGGTGGTGGGGCGGTGCGCGCTGCACTGTTTAACACAACAGCGACACCACCAGCAAAGCAGCAACAACAACATCAACATCAACATCAACAGCAACAGCAACAGCAACCTCAACCTCAACCTCAACATCAACATCAACATCAACACCAGCAGCAACAACAGCAGCAGCAGCAGCCGCGGCAGCAGCAGCAGCAGCGGCAGCAGCAGCGGCAGCGGCAGCGGCAACAACAGCAACAAGAAGCGCCACAACAACCACAACGACAGCGACAACAAGAACAACAAGCACAACAGCAACAACAAAAGCGACGACAACCGACAAACTGACCGAATAATCACTGGCTAACTAACTCAACAACTTGCCTACTTGACTGCTTGCTGCGAACCAATCTACCAAACCTAGCTACCAAAGTAGATAGATAACTAATTAGCTGACTGAGTCACGAACTAACTATCCAAATAACTGGCTACCTCTTACCTAACTAACCAACGACTCAGCCAAGAAACTACCTAACTACCTCAGTGCCTATTTAAACTATTTGGGTATCTGACTAACTATCCAACTGACTAACTAACTGACTGGCTGACTGCCGGCTGGCGAACTAACTATCTATCTAACCAACCAACTAACTAACTGAGTGATCGACTGACTAAATAACTGACTGCAGTGATTCTGCTATCGCAGCTGCAAGGGCCAGATTTAAGTGTCGGTCTCTGCCTTTCTTATGTGTAGATGGCCCACCGATGCTCCAGGTTAGTGGCATGGGACTTCCATTGTTTGTGTGTCTAACTTTCTCGGATGATGGACCCAGCACACCGAACAAAGTAAGTAGTTAACCAACTAAACTAAACTAAACTAAACTAAACTAAACTAGACTAAACTAAACTAAACTAAACTAAACTAAACTAAACTAAACTAAACTAAACTAAACTAAACTAAACTTAACTAAACTAAACTAACGGACAGCTTTGACAGGCTAACTGTAAAATACCTTAGA